TTATTTTTTTTATTAATAACTTTATTATTACTTCTTTTTAGACCATACCTGAATAATGTTAGTAGACCTTCCTGAAATTAAAGCACTGTGTAGGCCTGTATAATGTGCATCTTTGTTTAATTGTCTATCTATTGTTTAATATATATATATTGACATACATGCGTACATATCATCCTTGCCCGTAGAGAGGAGTTTATTTCAGCATCATATAAAATCAACAATAATGATAAATAATATTAAAGCAAACACAGCTCTGGTATCGGAAAAGTATCGATATCGGCCGATATCCAAAGTCAGGTATCGGGATCGGATCGGAAGTTAAAAAATGTGGATCGGTGCATCCCTAATATATATATATATATATATTATATATATATATATATATATATATATATATATACAGTATATATATATGTCACAAACTGCTCTGAGGAGAGGGTTAAGATCCAAATGCAGCTTTATTTGAGGGCAATCCAGAGGCGTAATCCAATGTACAGGCAAGGGTCATACACAGATAGGCAGTCCAAGACAGATACACAGAGAAACAAACCAAACAGGCAGGGACCAGGGGCAAGAGAGTAATCCAGGGAACAGGGCAAGATATCCAAAAACCAAGAGACAAGAAACCCGTAGAATGCTCAGAATTGCAGTGTAACACTAAAACAAGACTTCGCGGTGAGTGACTGAATGAACATGGTATATATAGCCAGACTAACAAGATGAGACAGGTGAATGCAATAGTGAATGAGGTACAGGTGAATGTGATCAGTGATGATGAGTCCGGGCAGTGAGTTCTGGGAACTGTAGTTTGTGTGAAACATAGTCTTATCTGGAGTGCCCTCTGGAGGCTCAATAGGGCACTCCAGCTGGTAACCGTTACAATATATATATATATTTTTTAAATTTATCATTTGGTTTCATTGAAAAGGTCAAAAATATGATGTCTTACAAGGACAGTGCTACTATAATTTGCAAAATAAACCTAAATCCTAAACCTAAAAATTAGCCTATATAATTTCAGTGATTCAGGTTAAATGATTGTAAAATAATGATTATGTTATAACACAACCATCATCATCAAATCACACTTTTCTTTGTTCATCTGTCTGTTAATACTGAAGTACAATAGTCAAACAAAATCTAAAGTTAATTAGCTTAGGTTCAAGAGCCCAACTAAATCAAACACTGATCTCCATAATGGTGACTTAACATTACAGTTTTCTCATTAAGTAATTCTGCTTGTTAACATCAGGTGTCTTCAATAATGCTTAATCATCACTCTATTATTCACTTAATTATCTCATTAACTTCAACACTGCTTCAGTGTTACTTTAACACTGTTTCAGTGTTTATATGAGTCCACACTGTGTTATTTTAAGACTGGTGGTTTTGCTGTGTAGGGGACTGTCGCTGTACACTGGCCAAGAGAGGACTAGTGTTTCTGGTCATTCTGAAGAAACAAAAATTACATGCAAGATTCTCTTTTAAGTACGGTGGCCGAGAGAGCTCACCATGCTGCAACCTGATGAAGACGAATGCAAATTAAAAACAACGTGTGCAACTATAAAAACGCATTCAAATACAAAAATACATCCGCAAATTAAGAAAAAAATCTTCATCAGTTCCACAACACACCTGTGCTCCAAGTACTCACAACACAACCAAATACAGAAACGCGCTGCAAACGTTCACAACACCACCAAATACGGAAACGCGCTGCAAATAACACGGCCCACAACGGAAATGTTTCCGGGGAACCAAATAAGTGACGGACCCGACTGGGACTTGCTTATTGCTCGTGAGCTTCCCTATGCCCTACTCCCTTCAAAGGGCATACGGCAAAGCTCTTCAAGTGGGAATTTGGCGTGAGCATGACACCTAGTGTGTCATTTATGTAGCCGTTTGGAACTTGATGAAGGGAGCAACAACAGACAACGTAACAACGCAGCACTTTGTCCATCAGCTGTATAGCTGTTCTGACGAAAGAAATATAATGATTAACATAACGGTTGCAAATAAATTATTCATTTTTTATTTTTACTTTATAAAAATCTGTTAAAATATCCGTTTTATATATCTGTATGTCAGTGCCATACATTACCTAACATTTTTAGGAAACTTCTTATAAAATTTAAAAATAAAATGAAACTATTTGTATAGTGTAACTGATGTATAGATTAATATCTTGCCTTCATGTTCTTCTAGATCTGTTTTTATTTATTTAGTTTAGTTTTCAGATCATTTTTCTTTTCTCATTTGTATTGTGATGACATTGAACATATTGTTAACACATGTTGTATATTGTACACAAGTTGTATGTCATAATAAT